AAGTTTAAAAAAAAGTATGCTTCAAAATGCATTCAGACTCTGTCATTTATTTCTCTGGAGGTAGATAGCATTTTTCATTCTAAGTCCTGCAGAATTATTTTGGATTATTGTGTTGTTGAGAATAGTAAGTTATTCACAGTTGATACAATGTTGCTGTTACTGTGTACAATGTTCTCCTGGTTCTGTTCATTTCACTTTGCGTCAGTTCATGTAAGTCTTTCCAGGTTTTTGTAAAATCCACTTGTTCATCATTTCTTATAGCACAATAGCATTCCATCACAATCATATACCACAGCTTGTTCAGCCATTCCCCAATTGATGGACATCCCCTCGATTTCTAATTCTTTGCCATAAGAAAAGAGCTGCTATAGATATTTTTATACATATAGGACCTTTCTTTCTTTCTCTTTTTTAAAATCTCTTTGGGATATAGACCTAGTAGTGCCATTGCTGGGTCAAAGGGTATGCACAGTTCTATAACCCTTTGGGCATAATTAGCTTTTATTAAAAAAAAAACAACCCAACCTATTGAATACAGGCCAATTTCTTTTCTTTCTTTTTTTTTTTTTAAAAAGGCAATTGCAGTTAAGTGACTTGCCCAGGGTCACACAGCTAGTAAGTGTCAAGTGTTTGGTCTGAGACCAGATTTGAACTCAGGAACTTCTGACTTCAGAGCCAGTGCTCTATCTACTGCACCATCTAGCTGCCCCAGGCCAATTTCTTTTTGAATCTGAACTAAAATATAAAGTGCATAACATCTTCTTCCTTCTCTGCAGATCCCCATGTCCCCCAGCGACTCACTCATATATCCTCCAGACTTAAAGTACTTTCCCTGATGGGGGAAATTACTCTTTTTGGGGTGGGGGAGGAGGTACTTAGGGAATGAGCTCTTTCTAATTCCAAATACTGAGGGTAGAAGGCCAGGGCTTGGCCCTCTCCTCTACCTCATGGCTCTCTTCCTTCCTGTTCTTCAGCTCTGGCTCCTGCTAGCCCCCCACTTGGGATGGCTCCCTCCTCCTGCTCTTTCTCCAGAAGGCAAGGGCCCCGGGATTTTGGATGTTCTACCATTGCCTTTGGCTGCTGCCATTTCCAGACCCAAGATGTTCTCTGGGAAGTATGGCAGAGATAAGCAGGACCCTCTGGCCCCTGCCCAGGGGTCAAAGCCTGCTCTTCAGCCCTATCAATGTTGACCAGTCCAGCCCAGGCCATACATATGCTCTGTGTCTCCTGTTCCTCCTCTTCATGCAGTCTGCCCACCTGCCAGAAGGAAGGACTCCCAGTTCTCCTACTGCCCTCCCTGTTGCCTTGACTTTGCTCCCATCATCCTCCATGCTTGCAGTGGACTCTGCCCATATACCACATCCCTCTGTGGAAGTCAGGGGCCGCCCAGCTTGGGCCAGGCAGTGCAGCATGCTAGTAGCTGATAAAGTATAAACCGGGGAGTCAATCTTTCCTCTAGCACTGGCCAGCTAGGGATGTGACCATGAACACACTCTGAGTTTCCTCTTCTGTAAAATAGAGGTAATGGCAGCTTCAATACCTACCCCACGGGTTTATTGTGAGTCTCTCCTGTGAGATCTCCAAACTTGGAAGCACTCCATCAGTTATCATTGTTACTGTGGGAGGGACTGGCCCATGAGCCCCCTCCTTGTGAGCGTGCGTCCAGTGCATGACCCAACGGATAGAATCCCCACGTAGCTTTGGGAACATGCCAAGATGTTTTGGGATTGGGCTAAGTCTGGGGGTAAAGCTGCTGATCTAGGGCTGAATATGCTCTAAAGGGTCGCTGATCAGCCAAAGTGCAAAGTGCTTCCCTTTTTTTTGGTGGGCAGTGCTTGAGTGAGGAAGGTTACCCATAAGCCTCTGGGTGTGGACGGGCCTCGGGTCTCCACTGGGGCTCTCTGATTGTTGTCTCTTGACTTAGTTCTTTCCTGATTTGAGATAAAAGAATACTGATGATGGCCATCCCTTTGTGGACTTTGAAAGGCCTTGATGGTCACTTCTAGCTGTCCATGAGCACGTAGGTGCCCATGCTCCCAGCTCGGCTCTGGACTTCCCCACCATGTTTCTATTCCAATGTCAACTTGGGTCCTCCTCATGGGGGAGCATCCAGCCGTCCTGGTGGCCTTCTTACCCTGGGCTAGGCCTCTGCTAGGCAGCCTCCATCTTCCATTGGTGAATAGGGCCTCCCTTTCTGGAGGGGCCAGGCCACTGAGCTTTCATTCCCCTCTTGGGTGTCATCTGCTCCATGAGGATGGGGATTGTCTTTCTTTTTGCTTCTATCTGTACCCCCAGCCCAGCACTTCCCACTATGCTGGGAATATGGCGAGCATTTAATAAATGTTTTATTCCTTCCATCCCCCTTCCTCTTAGCATTACCTTGGCCACAGGCTGAACCCTCCACATGGGCCCTGGCCATGTGCTCCCTGCATGCATCGTTCTGCTTGTGATCTGTGTCCATTTTCCCCACGGAGGCTGGTTGTATTTATGGGAGGGCACATCCCAAGTTTGTAGAGGGTGTTTCTTACTATGCCATTTGAGTAAATACCCTTCCTTTGAGCATATTCTTTCTTTTTTTTTAGTTAGTTAATTTATTTTTAGTTTTCAACATTCACTTCCACAGAGCTAATTGTTTCTTATGACTTTTAAGGCAGCTACACTGAACCCAGGAAGACGTGAGTTCAAATCTGGCCTAGGACATTTACCTGCTGTGTGACCTGGGCAAGTCACTTAACCTCTATTTGCCTCTGTTCCTTCATCTGTAAAATGGGGATAATTCTGTGCACCTCACAGGGTTGTTGTGAGGAGGAAATGAAATAATATTTATAAAGCCCTTAGCATAATGTCTGGCACATAATAGATGCTACATACATGTTCTTCATCATCATCACCATCACCCTGCCTCAGATACTTACTAGATGTGTTACCCTGGTCAGGTCATTTAATCTCTCAAAGCTTCAGTTTCCTCATCTCTAAAATGGAAATACTAGGACGTACATCACAGAATTGTGAGGAACGGGTCAGATAATCTGTATGAAACACTTAGTCACCTTGAAAATTCTCAGTAAATGCTAGCTACTGTTATCCTATCTGGCTGACTACTAAAAGCTGACCCCACGGATGGGGGCTCATTATCTAGAGTTTAAAGAGTACACACTCAAAGGGTACCTTGACCCTTCGGCAACCTGGGGACCTAACTTATAATTGCAATTTGGTATGAGAATTCAGTTTGGCAACTACATCGTTCTTAAGTTCTGCTGGGTCACTGTTATGTCTGGGGGGTTGCCACAATGATGCCCCGGTTTTAGGACAGCGTTTGCATTCTCAGGGGATATTCTGTAGTCCAGGGAGGGATTTGTTGTTGCTTAGTTTATGGGTGAGAATCAGCAGCTAGTGTCTTAATTCTAGCCACGTGACCATGTCCTTCCAGGCGGTCAGCAGGGATGGCATTTTTGCAACCTACAGGGTTATGGTGCCCAGTTTTCAGCCCTTCCTTCCTTACATAATGTGCTCTGATAAGGGGGCCACCTCCAGTCATCCTGATCTATATTTGGCCACTGGACCCAGATGGCTCTGGAGGAGAAAATGAGGCTGGTGACTTTGCACAGCCCTCCCTCACTTAAATCCAATTCACTCGCAAGTCATGGCATCACCTCCCTGATTCCCTCTTTGAGAAGAAGGACGCTCCCCAACAACCTGATAAAGCCCAGGCTCCTGAAAGATAATCTCCTTGTATCATAGCCCCTCTTTTCTGCAAACAAATCCACTTGGCTTGGCCATTTGTTCAATGTTTGTCAACATATGCTGTCTGAGTTGTTATTTGCCTTTGCCTTACTCTCCCTTGCATGACAATTATCTGTATTTGTTTCTCATTTTGCCTTCCAGACTGTGAATTCCCTGAGGGCAGGGAACATGTTCAGTGGTTATTTGGTGATGGGGATGCAGTGTTGGATCTCGAGGCCGGAAATAAAGAATGCTGTTGTAGAATCACGTCCAATTCTTTGTGACCCCATTTGGTGTTTTCTTGGCAAAGATCCTGCGGTGATTTGCCATTTCCTCCTCCAGCTCATTTTACAGAGAAGGAAACTGAAGCAGGCAGGGTTAAGTGACTAGCCCAGAGTCACACATCTAGTAAGCACCACCTAGCTGCCCTCAGAAATATATAACTATTTGCATAATGATGATCTTGGAACTCCTGGGATAGTGAGATAGTATGAAATAGAAAAGAGTGGGGGGCACTTGGCTTTACCCATAGTTAGGGGCTCCTGAAATGGGCTGCAGCTCCTGACTCTTCCTCTGTCCCTCCCTTTCTCTGACCAGTCAGTTATTGGTAAACTCTATAGAGACATTTCAATGAATTGAATGCACACACTATAAACACAAGAGGGGGCAAGCCTTGTTGAACTGGTAAATACTGAAAGCTCTCAGGAGGCTTCCTGGTTGTTCATAAACAAAGATAAATTCACCACGGGTGTGTTCTGGGGATCAGTAACAGCAACCTTAGACATACTACAAACAAACATGGTGGGCGGGTGGGGGGAGGGGAGCTCCCTGCGATGTGTAACTTACAGGATCTTTAGAAGAACTGGCAAATAGGATTAAATGTGCCTTAAGACATCCCTGGTCATCTTTAAGCACGTGCTTAAAATATGCCAGGAGACTATCCTATGTAACTATACGGTTAAGTGAAGCGAGATCCCTAGTGATCTGGACATCTCATGCGCCTCGTGGCCCTCTAGCGATCCCCAAGGAATCATGGCTCCACCAGAAGGACTGCTCACTTTAGGACAGGATGGGATTTATGGTGCTTTAGGATGAGAGGATTTCCAAAAGGTCCAGGAGATCATGTGGTCCGAGCCACGCACTTTCCAGATAGAGCAAATGAGACAGCAGAGGGGAAGCGCTCAGCCTTCGACATGCTAGAGCAGGGACTGGCAAATTTCCCCATTGCCTCCATAAAAACCGAGCCCTCTAAAACAGAAAGCAGGAAAACACCTGTTTATTCAAAAAATCCCAAAGATACAATGACTCTGGCTTCACTCAGGCAGAGAGCAGAGAGAGGGAGATGTGAGGCTTGGAGTGTCCTCTCCCACAGAGCTGTTTCTCCTCCACCCTCTGGCAATTCCAGAACACAAAAGGTTAGAAGCAATTGTGGGGAGTGGAAGAGACTGGATGTCCTGGCTTTGCTCTGTCTCGCCTCCGAATCCTCCCATGCTGCCCCTGGTCCTTTTCCCATTATGGCTTATAATCAGACGTCTAGGGGGCATAGGCAGCCCAGGCAGGTGGGGCAATACCACACCTGGGTCCTTGAAGGGAAAACAAGGGGGAAGGACCAGAATGTGGGTGGGATATTCCCCCAGGTCTCTTCTGGAGGCTATGGGGATCTCTGAATTGGAGAAGGGCAAGGAAGGCCCTATTGTATGAAGGGAGTGGGGCCTCAGCAAAAGACTGGGGGCCGGGGGGGCCCTTAGAAAAAGGAGTCTTGCCATGAGGCATTTGGGGAGTCTCACTCAACTCCTTTCCCTGCCCTGTCAAGGGCCTGGTTTCACCATCAAGGTGCAGCTGGAGCTGAGGGCAGAAGTGCAGGCATTTGCGGGGGGAAGGATTGGGGACAGACTGGGGAGGAGAGCCCCCCCACCTTGCCCTGGGGGCTGGGGGAGGGTTTTTTAGCCCTTTAGTGTTGGGGTATAGGCACCCCCAAATCATGGCTATGTACAAGGGAGGAAGATGGGTTGTGCATTGGGAATGGGGGGAACCCCCCCAAACACCAGAAAGGCTCCCTGGGGAAGAGGAAAGGGGAGATACCTTCGGAATGGTCTCGCCCCCTCCCCTGCTGTCCTCCTCCAGGCTTCACTCTGCCCACCCCTCATCCCCAAGGACAACCCCAAGTCCGAGGTGGGATCGTCTGAAGTCAAGGCAGTCAGAGGGGTCAGAGGTCACAGTAGTGAGGACAAAGAGGCAGTGACACCATGAAGAGGGGGCCCATTCCCAAAGCCCTCCAGGGATGAAGTCTTTGAGGGGAGGCCCAGGGACACCACTGGCAGTGGGCAGGAACCCTGGCTAGGAATGGCGAGTCAGTGGGCAGCAGCCCATGGGTGAGGAGAATTATGTCATCAAAGGACACTCCAAGAGGAAGCAACTCCTCCAGGCAGAGATAAGCCGCCTCCACCTGCCAGGGGTCGATGTCATCATTGTGGGCCAGGCCAGGAAGCAGTGACATCTGTTATGATGGGGGAGGGGTCCCAGAGGATGCGGCAGCCATGACATCTTTGGGGGCTGCCCTGGAAGGAGGAGATGACATCATCGAGACAGCAGGGGTGACACCATTCATGGAAAGCCTCGTTCAAAGAGGCAGTGACATCATCATTGGAGACCCACTGGAAGGGAACAGTGATATCACGTCCCAGAGGGAAGCTGTGATAATATTGGCAGCAGATGCCTATTAAAATCGGGAGGCCTGAGGTGCAGAAAGAAATGACGTCATTGTTTCCTCTCGGACACCTCTGGGACCCAGAACATCGAGGCAGATGAGTCCTTGACAGCCTGGGAGGAGGACACTTGGAACAGCAGAGGGAGGCAAGGTCACCAGGTGCTGGGGAGGTGAGAGTTCTCCCGCACTCTGCCCTGGTCAGAGTGCACCTGGAACACTGGGCTCAGTTCTGGGAACCACAGTTCAAGAAGGACATTGATCAGCTGGAGAGTGTCCAGAGGAGGGCATCAAGGATGGGGAAGGGCTTGGAGCCCATGTCTAGGGAGGCTCAGTCAAGGAATGGGGTGTTTCACTTGGAGATTGGGGGGGATATGAGAGCTGTCTTCAAGTATTTCAAGGTCTGTCATGTAGAGAATGAACGAGATTTCTCTGCCCACAGAGGCCAGAACTAAGGGTGATGGGGGAAACTTGCAGAGGCAGATATAGGCTGACGAGAATTGCCCCTGACGGAATGGGCTGCCACAAGAGATAGCGAGGTCGCCCTCCCTCGGGGTCTTCGAGCAGAGGCTGCAAGACCGCTCGTTGGACAGGAGGCCGAGGGAAGGGCTGGACAAGATGGCTGGCCATTGGGATGTATTCCAGCTGTCATTCTTCTCTGGTTCCTTCGTGGGAATGGAGTTCCCCTAAGGTCAAGGGAGGAGGTGGTCCTGGACAGGACTGGAATGATGCTAGGAAGGCAGAAGAGCTTCACTGACAGTAAAGGGGGGAAAGGCCAGAGAAAAGGCTGGGAGGCCAAAAGGCTGGGCTCATGGCCAACGCCTCCATCCGTTGAGAGCTGGAGCCCACGACTGTGGATTCCACATGGGGGGAACAGGGGAGCCTTCAAGGCCAATAGCCCAGAAAGAGTCAGAGGCTAGGAGCCCGTCTCCAAGGAGAGGTGTGGGGCCTCTGGAAAATGACAATGTAGGAAAAAGAAAGGGTTGAACCTTGGCGGGAATGCATCTGGAATGCAGAGATACTCAAGGAGGGATGGCGTCCCAGAATGTGTCCGGGACCATCTCCAGCTGACCCCCGGCCCTCGCTGGGCATTCATAAAAGGGTCGGAACCATGTCCCAGGAAGGGATGGAGCCCGTGGCGGATGAGGTCATGTGGATGAGCACTGTCTCTGGAGATGAGGTGATAAGAAGGGGTGACGGCTCTAGAAATGACCTCCCAGGAAAGGATGGAGGGAGCCTCCAGAGTCGATGTCCTAAAATTGGCAGACCCTTTGGAGGTGGTGCTGCAGGATTAGGAGTGCAGACTTTGGAGATGACCTCATAGGAAAAGGGGCAACCCCTGGGGATGATGTCACAGGAAGGGCTAACATTTGAAGGTGATGTCAGAGGAAGGGGCGGAGCCTCTGGGGACGATGTCACAGGAAGGAGCGAAGACTTTGGCAGTGCCGTCATAAGAAGTAGATCCAGTAGGGATGTTGTCCCTCCAAGGGGCAGAGCCCCCGGAGATGCTGTCACTGGAAGGAAGAGTCTCTGGAGATCACGACATAGGAAAGGGGTTAGCGTTTGGAGGTGATGTCACAGGAGGAACCAGAGCCTCTGGAGATCACATCCCAGAAGGGGGGGCGGGGGCGGAGCCCCAGAAACGACGCCCCTGAGGCCCCCCATCGGCCAGGCAGGCCGGCCAGAGCCTCGTGTGGGTGGGCGCCTCCGGGAGGGTAGGCTTTGAGCCCTCAGACTGTCACCTCATTCTTGCTTGCTGTGCGCAGGTGTTGTGGGTGGTGGTGGCCAGGGATGAACTGGAGGGTCTCCAGGCCTCCCTGATGCTGGAAGGGGGGGCGTCGGGCCAACGTGCCCCCACCGCCCCCTGCCTCAGCCCCCATGCCCCCCCAGGCCGAAGGGGACAGGCTGTGGCGCAGGTGGTGGGGGTGGTGGGCGTGGTGGGTGTGAAGGGGAGGGGGTAGGCCATGGAGGGGAGTCGGGGGGCCGGGCCCCAGCAGCAGGTTGGTGTGGGAGGCGGCCAGACCCCCTCGGGGTGCGTCTGGCGGTGGCGCGGGGCTTCGGGGCGGGGACAGGAGCCGCTCCTGGCTCTGTAGGGCCTCGGGAGAGGAAAGCAAAAGGCGCTCTTGGGAGACCAGGCGGGCCCGGGGCAGGGTGAACTCATAGTGGGAGCCCCGGCCGCTGTCCGACAGCAGATGCTCCTGAGACATGACCCGCCGGGGGTTGGGCATCGGCGCCTGCTCCTCAGGGCTGCCCCAGCCTTCGCCAGCCCCGCCGTAGCCGCCGCCCCCGGTGCCGGGCCGGCGCATGGTGTGGAGGGGCAGGGTGCCACGGGGGAGCTCGGCCAGGTGCCTCCTCTTCATGTACATGTCATCCAGGTCCTTCTCAGCTAGGCATACACAAGGCACAAGAGCTCTTAGCTCCTCAGCACCCCCCAGCCCCCCAGGCTCCTGACCTAGACTCAAATAGGGAGCGGAGGAGACTAGGCAGTCCTAGGGAGCCAGGCCCAGGGCCGGGGTGGGCAGGGGCCAAATTAGAACCTCATTGACTCACAAGGCAGACCTACCGAGACCATCTTCCACCTTGGAGATCATCCAGCCCAACCCCCAACTTTATAGAAAGGAAAGTGGTCCTGCCCCGTGCCACCCAGCCAAGGAGGCGGCAGTTGCCCCCTCCCTACCCACTTGATCCTGGGGCCAGCCTCCCCCACCATCTCCCCGTTACCCTGGCCTCACCAAGCCTCTTGAGGGAAGAGTATCGGCTGAGCTCTGACTTGACTGCGGCCTCGTAGGACGGGGGCAGGTGGGAGAGGTTGTGGAAGGATCGGGAGCAGGAGAGGGTAGAGTAATGGAGGACGGGGCTGGGGGGAGGCTGGGCCCGCCAGTCTGGGATGAAAGGGAGAGACAGCCCGAAGGAGGCAGGTTAGAAGCAGTGCCCTATGGGAAGCCTCCCCCCAATCCAGCTCACTCCCCCCCAGGTATCCTCCCCCCATCCACTCCCACCACTCCACCTGCCCTTCCCAGACGCCCCTCCATACCAAGCGTGGCAGCGTGGTGTTTGGGACTGTTGACATTGAGATGGATGTAATTATGATGCAGGGTATCTGTGAGGAGGAAGGAGGAGTATAACGATTTGCCCGTGAATGTTGCTTTCACCCCCTCTTTGGAGAACCCCCCAAAAGTGCCAAGGGTCCCCCTCATCCCACCTCGGGCTAATGGCCCCTGCTCTCAAGCCTGTCCCTCTGTAGCCAACCCCCCCCCCCCAAAGGTAGAGGCAACAGCAACTGCCCCATTGTACAGAAGGGAAAACTAAGGTCCAGCCCGGCCTTGGGCTTAGGGCTTCTGAGGGCTTCCATGCGACCCCTGGGCATATTAGGTACGTGGCAAGGAGGAAGAGTCTGAGGGAAGCAGGAGGAGGGGATGGAGAGAAGAAACAGAGGGGGAGGCAGAAGATAGAAGGTTCAGGCTGGGATGAGGGGCAGAAAGGAGGAAGGGGATGGGCCTCAGGAATGGAGTGAGGAGGCGGAAGGGAGGGAGGAGCAGCATGGAAGCCTGGAGGGATGTGGGGGGAGGTGATGGGGAGAGAGGCAGAGAGAGAAGTCAGGCACTGAGGGATTGTGGGAACACCAGCACTTGGAGGGGGGACAGAGGGATGGAGGGGGACTGACCGAGGATGCCCTCCCCAGCCCCACAGCCTGAGGCTCACCGTGGTTGGAGGCTTTGACCGGATTATAGAGGTTTTTGGGGGGCCGGGGAGGAATGCTGTCAGGTCCTCCCAGGCCTGGGGTCAAGGAACTGCTCCGTGCCCGGTCAGGACGGGTGGTTGGCCCTGCCTGGTGCCTCAGGATATCCACCAGGGCCCTGGATGCATGGGGTGGAGAGGAGTCAGGGGCACTGGGTCGCCAAATACTCACCTGGACCCTCCTCTCTCCGCCTCAGGGGACCCAGCCTCTGCCATCCCAATCCTGAGGCCTCTCTTCTCTTCCCCACCATGACCCTGCGTTTTCCTCCCCAGCCTGGCTCCAGCACCTGGTCCACATGGCTGGGTCACAGGGCCCTCCTCACTCCATACTGTCCTGGGCGTACTAGGTTTCTCTTTTTTGCCCCTCATCTCCTGGGGTTTTACCTGAGGCCCCAGAGTGATCAGAGACTAGAGCTGGGGCAGTTCTTGTATGAAGCCAGAAAGCCCTCCTAAGGGTCACAGTCTCCCCAGCTGCCTGGTCTCCAGTGGACAGGGAGGCCCATGTGTACATAGACCCAGCCCTGGGGCTCCACACCTGAGCATACTTGTCACACGGAGCACCCTACACAACCTGGCCCCACTGTACCCACCACCACCACCACCACCACCACCACCACATATCCCCAGAGGCCCTAGATCCGTGCACTGATCCCCAGGGCCTGGGACAATTCTCGCCCCCCTAGCCAGCATGTTACCCTAGGGGTTCCTCCCTAGGGTAACATGCTGTGGAACAGACCTAGAGCATGCAAACATGCAGCAGGCCCCCTCAAATCTCTATCCCTCCTCTCCCTAGCTATCCTGCATGCATGTAGAAGGGGGTAAACAGCTGGGCCCCCCCAGGTCCTGTGGCCCCTCCTCTGCACCCCCAGCATCCCCCCACCCAGACCTAGACCCAGCCCCAGCCCCAACTAGGATACCTGGGCACGTTGATCTCCCGGTGAGCCCGGGGGGCCCGGGATGCTTTGCTGAAGGCCACCTTGGCACCTACACCCACAGCCAAGGCGAAGCTGATGACGCCACACACCACGTAGGCTGTGCTGCCGCCTGGCCCCTCGCCACCCCTGCCTCCAGCGCCTCCGGCTCCAGACCCCGCCCGGTTCCCATCCAGCCAGCCTGGCTGACCGGGCCCAGGCCCCCCGCCATTCCCGCCTGCACCGGGCCCACCAGCATCAGAGGGCTGGGGTGTGTAGGCCCAGACTGGGGTGTCATAGTTGGAGCAGGAGGCCTGGGCCAGGCGCATGTGGCGGTGCTCACAGCAGAAGCGGTAATAGCACGTGCCACAGCAGAAGCGGAAGGAGCCAGTGCTACAGTTGAAGGTGGCATCGTACTGGCCCATGACATCATAGTAACCATGGCACAGCTCTGCAGGCAGGGGGGCCCGAGCTGCCTGCCCTCCACCACTGCCCCCCGAGGTCGCATTGGATAGCCCGCTACCGCTGCCGCCGCCACCACCGCCACCACCGCTGCTCCCCGTCACGGCCCCTGTCAGCCGGCGCAGGTGGGCCAACAGGGCTGGGAGGGGGCCTGTGGCTGCCAAGCTGGTGCTGTTGGGCAGGTGGGCCACAGCCAGGGTTGGGCCCAGGGCAGAGGCCAGGAAGAGGGGGCACAGGAACAGGGCAGGAGGCATGGCTGCAGCAAGGCTTGGCACTGGGGAGAGAAGAGGAAAAAGATGAGGCATAGATGGGAGGGCCAGAGAGAAGGGAGGTAATGGGCCGAGAGGGACAGACGGCAAGTGGCCACAGGCAGAGGAGAGAAGGCTGGAGAGCTGCTAGATGGGCTTCTCAGTGAGAGCCAGGCAGAGAGAAGGCAGCCTTGGGGAAGAGGACAGCAGAGGCCCAGGAAGAGCGATGTCTGTCTGGCCAGATGGTCAGCCAGACAGGGAGTGGAGAATGGAAGATGGAGATGACAGAGTGGGGGCACGGGCAGGACACAGGGAGGCTGAGGAAGAAACGGAGAGAGGAAAGACAAGGGTTTAGTCTCCTCTCCCATCTGCCCCAAAAGGAAGGACTCAAGCTCTCCCCAGGGAATGAGACAGAGAGATGAATACACATTGTGTGAGAGAGATAGCAGAGACAGAGACAGTAAGGGGGAAAGCAGGCTTAGAAAAGGAAAAACAAAGACAAAGGCAGTCTGAAATGCTTAGAAAGTGAGCGATGGCTGAGAGACACTCAGGGAGACAGGAAGGGCACGTTCAGGGAACAAGAGATGGGACAGTGAGAGAGTCACCCGTTGCGAGGGAGATGGAAGAAAGGTGTTCCTGAGGGGGAGCCCAGAGGGACCCTGGCCCAGGGCATGGACTGGGCCAGCCACTAGAAGCTGGGTGCCCCCTGGACAGTGAACTCAAGGCTTTCTTCCCAGTCTAACTGCACTGGTTTCCATGGTAGCCGCCCACCAAGGTACCAACTCCACTTCCCTGGAGACATACAACATACGTTGCCACATGACAAAGGCACAACCTAGTGGCCCACAGATACACACTCTCCCCCGGCAACATGGTCACAACACCCATGCATGCACAACTTCTCCTCCATAGCTGGGGCCCTCCAACAGACATCCAACAGGCCTCATGGCACAGGGGGCCCCCAGCTGCAGGCTAGACATAACTTGTGGACACAGCATTTCCCTTTCGCAGATGGGAACTCTCAGTTCCCACTGGAAACACACACACACACACACACACACACACACACACACACACACACGCACATACACACAACCTCACACGCAGTGACAGACACAACTGCATTCATACACAGGTGCACAATTAGAAACCCATCCCCCCAGCCTCCAGACAACCGCTACAGACATTCCCAAATACCAAGTATGGGCACGCACAACCAGAAACACCTAGGTACAGCTCTAGGCACCATGGACAGATCCTGAGATGCCTTGACTCAGACCTCTGCCCTCTCAGAATGGGACTGTGACGAAACATCTGCAGATAGGCACCCACAAATCCCCCTTTCCCCCTCCAAAGGGCACCCTGTCTAGCAGACAAAACCTCTCTCCCTTCTACTCCCCCTTAGCTTCTGATGCCTTTTTAGTTGGGGGAGGGAGCTATAGAGAGTGGGAGAGATACATCTCTTCCTCCTCCCCTCCCCATGCCCCATCACCAGCCTGAGACAGGAGAGCCAGGCACATCCCCATCCAGAGCCCTCCCTGCCCACTGGAGTGACCCAGACAAAAACTGAAAAGCAGGTGAGTTGGGAGGAAACGTAGAGACAAAGAAGGGAAGACACAGAGATAGAGATGTCGGGAGACACAGACCAGGAAACAGGGGAAAAAACAAAGACAGAGATGGAGAGAGAGATAAGGCAATGGAGGGAGAGGCAGTCAGTGACACAGCCACTCTGTCACCAACACAGCTGTTCCCTCTCCCACCACCCCAGTTTCCCATCTGAATATCTTTCTCTGTCTGAATCCCTGGACCCTCTTCAGCTCCAATGTCCAACCTGTCGCTAATCTCTGAGTCTCCTCAACTGTGCCTTGTCTCTATGTCTCTATGCTGGCTTATTCCAAAGCGGGGAGATTCAGTCTTCCCACACACACACACACAGACACACACACACACACACAGAGCTGGGAGCAGGGGACACAGATAGAGAGGGGATCAGTTTGAGGCTCCAGTCACCCACCCACCCCTTCTCCTTACCCAGCTTTGCCAATTGCCTACAGCTTCAGCGTGTGTGTATGTGTGTGTGTGAATGAATGAAGGAAATGGACCAGAGTCTCGAGTGTTCGAGTATGTGGTGGTGTGTGCTTGGTTCCTGTGTTTCTTTGTGTGTGTGTGTAGGGGGGGGCAGAACCCTGTATGTATGTCTATGTGTGGGTGGGTAGGTGGGAGCCAGGGCACTTGGTGTGTGTGTGTGTGTGTGTGTGTGTGTCTTTTTCTATGTGCAGATTCCAGGGGCTACGGGGGAGGATTTAGAGTTGGGGAAAAGGAGGGCTGCTGGAATGTCAGAGGGTGGAGAACGAGCCACAGGAGAGGAAAGGAGTGGGGTTCTGGACAGCCAGAGGGAAAGGGGCCTGGGGTACAGAAATGATAGGCGCAGTGGGGGGGGGGGCCTCAGGTCGCTAGCAGGCCGACCCCGAGGCTCGGGAGCCCCGACATTCCGAGAGGGCGGGCCCCCTGCTCCCTGCGGGATGCGTGCCTTCGGCGCGGGGCTCGCTCTTGCTACGGTCCCTTTATTCCGGGTGTCTCCCAGTCTCTGTCGCCTTTGTTTCAGTCACCTTAGCCTCTGCCCGTCATCTCTCACATCCCTCCCTGTCTCGGTGGTCTCTGCGTGGGGGTGGGGGCGCCGTCGGCATCGGGACTCAAAGCTCCCCTTCCCTTTCCTTCCGGGGGCTCAAGGCGGGGGGGGGGGGTTATGTGGGGGGAGGGCCACGGCTGCGGCAGGAGCGGGTTGTTCCCGGCGCAGAATAGACTCCCGTTGCCATGGAGACGGGAGCGCGGGCCTCGGGGAGGGAGGCAGGCTCCTGCATAGGTATGGGGTACAGGATTCCGGGGTCCTCGCGGGAGGGGGAAGGGGGCTGAGAGCAGGACTCTTGAGGAACTGGGAGTTGAGGGGAGAGGTAAGGTTGCCTGGGTCCCTGAAGGAGGACGAGGCTTGGGTACCAGGATGCCTGGGTCTTTCACGACACCTGCGTCCCTAAGAGGGAACCAGGGGCCCTGGGGTCCTGAGAAAGGGAAGAACCAAGGCTCCCGAAAGGAGCGGCTGGGAGCGCAGCACGCCTGGCTCCCCGAGGCAGGAGGCTAAGCCTCGGGACTGCCCGCTCCCTGAACGATACCATGACTGCGGAGAAAGGATGCCTGGGTCTCTGAGGGGGCGGAGGTCAGGAGCTCGGATGCCTGGGTCTCTGGGGAGGGGGGCGTTGACGATGGGAAAGGGGGCCGATGGGCGCCTGGACTCCGGAGCTGACGTGCTGTGGGCGCAACCCCCCCCCCCCCACTTTTCTCTGTAGCTCACCTGGCTCTACGGATGTCGGGCTTCCGGATGTCGGGCCAGACCGGCTTATTCTCCGAGCCCAGTTCTGCCCCTGCCAGCCCCCTGCCTGCCCCTCCCTGTCTCCAAGAGTCTTGGTACCGCCGCCACGCGTCTCTTGTCTCTGAGCATCTCTAAGTCTCTGAGGACCCCCCCCGCCAGTTCCCAATGGCCCCTTCCTCCCCCGCGCTCCCCCCTCCCGTGATCAAGAATGGTTTCGTCCATATGTGGAAGAAAGCTTTATTCCCCGAACCAGTCTCGGAGGGTCACCTCCCCCCAGTCCGCCCCCTCCAGGGCCTAGCCAATCTCCTCCCTGTTTTCAAGAGCTCATTTGCATAGAGGGAGGCGGTCGGCCAATGGGACCGGTGCTTTCTGCTGAGGTGGGGGGGGAGGGAGGTGGTTCCGTCTCGAGGGGGAAGCTTTCCCCTCTCCCGGGACAGAGACCTTCGCCCCCAGGAGAGGGGATCCAGGCTCAACATCCAGCGCTGGCTGTTCACTGGATGCGTGTGTGAAGGGGGTTTGGGGGTGTTCAGTTGAGGAGGGGGCTCTGGCCCTGGAACAAGCCAAGCAGTCCGCTATCGGGGGCTGGATCCCTAATTAATTTCTGCACCTGGAGGGAAGAGCCAAAGAGAGTTAGAGGAAAGGAGGAGGAATAACCCCAAGGAATGGGGGAGGGGAAGGACGGTGGGATAGGGACCCGGGGAGTCCCGAGGAAAGAAGGGCCCCAGGGGAAATCTCGGCTACCTCCTTGAAGCGCGGATGGGCAGAATCGCGCACCAGCTGCAGTATGAGGCACTCGCTGGTGGTGAGGAAGGCCCCGCTCTGGCGCATCCTGGACAAAGCCAGCAACCGGTCCACCTGACTGGAAGAGGAAGCGCGGTGGGGGGGAGGGGCGGATCGTGCTTGGAGATCTCTCGCCTCTCCCACGGCGGGAGATCGAGTGGTACTAGGCTGGGCGACCTGGGCTCCAGCCTCTGGCTCTGAGAAATGGGTGAGGGAGTGTGGCTACATGCCCGATCTGAAGAATTCCCCCAACACCGATGCTGTGTACCAGGCACAGTGCTAGGCCTGAGGGAGGCAAGCACCCCAGAGGATCAGGAGACCCGGGCTGGGGGGCAGCTGGGAGATCTAGACTCCTGGGGTGCAGAGAAAGGGGGCAAGGCAAAAGTGTGGGTCCTCTGGGAGCTCTGTTCTTCCTACATGGACCTATATAAGGATAACAAAGTAACCAGGGAAGGGAGAGCTTACTTACATGGGGGTGGGGGGAGGAGGGTCAGGCCGGGAAAGCTTCAGGGAGGGGATGGCCTTTAGAATGAAGAAGTAACCCCCTCCCTCTTCTCACTGCCACATGGTTCAGTCCAACGGGAGGGGTGTCTGTCAGTGGGCTCCAGCAAGCCATGAAGGGACTCTCCCTTCCAGCTAAGGACCTCTGGGCTTCAGGGGTGGCCCCTCCCTGGGGCACCGGGTGGTACAGTCCACTCTCTCATTCATTCCATTCCACAAGTGTCCCCGTGGGATAGCTTCCACGGGTCCCAACGTCCCCCAGGTCTGAGCCGCCTTGCTAGCCCCCCTCCACACCTGCTCACTGACCTCCGGGAGGAGCAGGCATCGGCCACCACGTGCACGTCGAGGCCTCTCTCCAGAAGGTCCAGGGCTGTGCTCTGGGGGGGAGGGTCAGAGGTCAGGGGCAGGGTCGACATTAAGGGTGACCGCAGAGGTCTGCCTGGCGTCAGAACGGCGTCAGGGGGGAACCTTACCATAATACAGGCTTGGGCCTCGATGCCACACAGCAGCACTGACCGCAGGCTAGGCCTGGCATTCATCAGCCGCTCCACTTCAGGCACCACCATGCTGAAGCATGTCTTGGGCACTGCGCGGATATCCTGAGCCCCCAGCTCCGGGACTGTGGGACCCAGGCCCGTGGGGTACTGTTCCGTCAGCATGACTGGGATGTCCAGCATCCGGGCCACCTGGGGGTAGGGAGGACAAGTGGGGCTGATGACACCTGGGGGGATCTAAGGACAAGACACTTGGGGGGGGCAAGTTGGGGCAAGACAGTTGAGGGGGGGTCAAATAAGCACAAGACAGTTTGAAGGAGGTTAGGTGTGGACAAGACACCTGGGGGTGGGGTCAAGCATGGACAAGACAGGGGCAGCTAGGTGGCGCAGTGGCTAGCTCACGGGCCCTGGAGTCAGAAGGACCTGAGTTCAAATCTGTCCTCAGACGCATGCTAGCTGTGTGACCCTGGGCATGTCACTTAACCCCTATTTGGGGTTGAGTTAACCCAGTTTGGAAGGGGATCAGGTGGGGACAAGACACCTGCGGGGGGGGGGTGAGGTGGAGACAAGACTGTTGGAGGTGGGGTCCGTGGCAGCTGGAAAGTGAGGGCGGGGCAGGGCGGGGCCCGCACCTGGAGCATGCGGGCTGACACGGCCACGATCTGGGGGAAGAAGGAGATGGTGCCTCGGAATTTCTCCTGCATGTCGCATAGGAAGAGCATGGAAGAGCCGGGGAGCACGCGGCCCAGGGCCGGTCGGGCGGTTGCCATCGCTGCGCTGGGGAGGAGATGGGGGGGGGCTGGAGGCCGTCCAGCCTCGGAGGGTTCGGGACCCCGCTGTGTAGAAAGGGCAACTGAGGCGCGGGAGAGAAAGGGCAAGGGACACCGGCCCGCCTCCCGACCCCCGGAGCGGGATTCGAAGCGGAGCTCCTCTCACGTGCCTAGGCCAGCCTAGCCCCCAACGGGTCTGCGCTTGCTCCCCCAGTCCCCGGGGGTCGGAGGTCAGGAACCCCCAGTACTCACTGCCTCCTCGACCGTCGCTATAACCTTAAGACGTCCCGCCCCTAGCGCAGGAGGCCAATCGGGGCGTGGGCGGGGCCCGAGTCGCCAATCAGAGGGAGGGCGGGGTCCGAGGCACCAATCGGTGCTCAAGGACCCCTGGGCTCAGACGGAAGAGGAAGGGGAGCCTCCAGGTCCCGCCCTTAGCACTCCCATTGGTTAGCTACAGCGCCGCTTCACCAATCAGAAACCTGAATCCTTGGAGAGGTGGGGTCAAGAAGAAAAACCTAAGGAAAAAAGAGAGGCCAGGTCTTCTGACCTTCGACCCCTACCGAGCCATAGCCAGAAAGCTCTTCTGGGGGGAAGGGGTCTCTCGGAGCCGCGGCGAGCAGTGTGGCCGTGAGAGCCAAAGTCGCGAGGGCTTACGTAAGGCAGAGGCCGGGGCTGGGCTCCGGGAGCCCCCTCCCTCCCTGGCCGCTGCTCTGTGGACCAATGAGGAGGCTCGAGGTGTGGTGACGTCACTAGTCTCCTAGTGGAATCATTACCTTCCCCCATCCCTGCCTTAGTGACCGGAGCGTATCTGCGCGTGCGCGCGGGGAGGGGGTGGGTGGGCCCCTGGAGGAAAGAGACAACTCCGATTCGATGCTAGCATTTATTAAACACCTGCTGAGTCCTGGGCACCCGGCTAGGGGCGTGCTGGACTTGCGGGGGAGGGGGAGGGGAACGGGAGGACCCCCAGATTGGACTGAGTGAAGAATAGAGACCGAGATGAGAAAGGATGAAGGAGAAACCGACCGGGACGAAGGAAGCCGGCCCGGGAGCGCTAGCTGGCGGAGGAGACGGGACGGGCCGGTCCTTGACGGACTGAACTGGACGCTCAGGGACAGAGGGAGCCAGGAGGGGCGTCCAGCGGGCAGACGGTCCCCAGCCCCGGGCCCCCGCAGGGCCGGGACGGCTCTGTCTCAGCAGCCCAGCACATCCCTGCAGCCAGGGTCCCCTCCAAGACCCCCAGGGCATGGGGGGACAAGGGGGCCAGGGCCATGGCTTCGTAGGGAAGGCGCTGACCCGGCTCCTGGTACAGGGTCTCTATAGTATTGTTGGACAGCTCCGTGGGGCCGAAGGTCATTGGGGGGAGGTGGGGAGCCTGGACAGACAGGGAGGAGGCAGGGGGCACCTGGGCAGGCACGGAGAGATCTTCAGTAACTGGAGGAAGAAGGGAAGGGCCAGGGATTTGCAGCCTGGGATTCAAAGGGATGATGTCAAAGAGCTCATGTGTCGGGCTCTGGAGAGCCCTGGGACTCAAGGCCAGCCCTGGCCCAGCACTCTCTGGGGCAGCCAGGGCCTGGGCCACCCCGAGGAAGGGGGAGGGAGGCCGCTGGAGCCGGGGCTTGGGCTGGGGGCCTGGGCCCGCTTGGGACAGGAAGGTCAGGGCCACGTGTTGGGTGGCTTCCTCGATATCGGCAAAATTCCTGTGTAGATTGGGGAGTTGAGGGTGGCTCACCACGTTTGTCTCCAAACAGACGTGCTCCCTCCATCCCTCCCTCCACCCCCTTCTCCGCCCTCCCTGCTCCCTTTCCTGTTCCATCTCATCCTGTCATCCTGTCTCTACATCTCTCCCCGCTCCCTCCACATTCACATCCTCCCCTGGGCCTGCCTGTTTCTGTTTCTCTCGCCGTCTGTCTCTCCATGTATCAGTCTCTTTATTTGTCCCTCTGTCTGGCTGGTTTTTTCCCTCTAGATTCCTGTTTATCTGGTTCTCTGTGTCTCTGATCTGTCTCTGTGTTTGCCTCTCTTTCCGCTGGCCCCGGGACCACACAGTTGCCCTGCCTCTTGTCCCAGCTCTCACCTGCACAGCTGGTTGTAGAGGAATCTCCGGTGGTTGGGCTTTCTCCGGGGGGGCCGAGCCTTCCGGGGTTGTAGGGTCCTCAAGATTCGGGCAGCCACCCCGCTCACAAAGGCACACAGCTCCTGGGGTGCGGGTTCAGGGAGCCCTGAGGTGGCTGGGGTGCCAGGGTGCATCTCCTTGCCTCCAGGAACTATTTGGGGTAAGAAAGAGGAAGTGAGCTTGTGGAGAAACAAACTTCCCTCCCCCCCCACCCCAATACACACACACAGACCCCAGCTGGTAGGCAGAAGACAAGACCCCTCTCCACCCTTGGAGGCATCGTCTGACTCTGGGCAAACCCCTGCTCCTCTTTAGGCCTCAACTTTTCCCTCCAGAAAATGGGTAGTGGTGGGGTGGTGGTTTTTATGGTCTTTGATGTTGCAAACTCTTCTAACTCTGATGTTCAGTGCTGCTACTGATAGAGCAGGAGGAAAGAGAAAGAGAGGAGAGGTAAAAAGATGGGACTGAGACAAAGGGATGAGGAGACAGAGAAGGGTATTGGGAGAGAAGGGGATGGGAGAAGTGAAAATGGGACAGGGGAAAAGAGGAGGGGATGGAGAGAGAAGGGGGTTGAGGAGACAAAGAAATGAGTGAAAGGGATGGGAGGGAGAAAGAAGAGGATGGGGAGAAAGGGATGAGGGGAGAGGATAGAGGAGAAAAGGGGATGGGGAGAGAGGAGGGGACGGGAAAGAGAAGGAGATGGAAAGGGGAGAGAAGGGGATGGAGGAGAGAGACTGGGAAAAGATACGGCATAGAGGAGAAGGAAGCAGCTTGGGGTCCGCCACTCCTGCCCATACCTTCCTGTCTTCTGGAGAATTGGCTTCCTGATCCAGGGCTGGGGCAGGGCTGATATAGAGCAGAGAAGGGGGGGGTAGCATTTCCCTTCCCTGCCCCCCCCCCCCCGTCCAATTAGTACATAACTCTGTCTGGGATTCAGAGACAGCACCGAGGCGTTGGAGAGAAAGGCCACAGTTGGCCAATTATGGGACAAAAAGGAGTCCAGGAGGTGGGGGGCGTCGGAGGGGAAAGAGTCAACTGCGGCAATCAAAGTTAAGGGCTCTTAATTGGAGCTGCGGGGGTGCGGGCTGGGGCTGCAGAGTCTCGGGTCTCTAGGGTGGTGGGGGCTGAGCAAAGAAACCGAGATCCTACGTAAGAAGTCACTTCCCTTCTGACCCTGATTGTTCTAGTTTGTAGAATGAGGCTATTGACCAGAGGCAGTCCCTCAGTCTAGGTCCTGTGAGGTCCGGCTCTCCATCTAGGGTCCTGTAACACTGCCAGAGAGCGTTTTGCAGACCCTGGAATGATCTGTGGATGTTCTGCTGATCTCCCTGCTTCCTTTAAATTCTAACTTAAATCCCCTATTCTACAGGCAGCCTTCCCCAAGCCTTCTTGATTTCAGTGCCTTCCCACTATTAATTATTTCCTATTTATCCTGTATAGAGGCTTGTTTGTAAATATTTGTTTGCATGTTGTGTGTCTGTCCCCCCCCCCCCATGTTAGATTGTAAGCTCCTTGAGGGCAGGGACTGCCTTTGACTTCTTTTTATATCCTCAGCACTTAGCACAGTGCCTGACGGAGCTGGTTCATCGGTATCCTTCGTTGCACCAAAATGATATAATTATGTTGGAGTCACATTGTGTCTGCCTGTGACGCTCAGACCGATAGGAGCTCAGAATGCTCTACCACAGGGAGGGCACAAATGTCCATGTGAACACATGGGCTGGATTCTCTAAATATCTGCATCCCACGTTTCTCTTGAGCTCCTTCAATTCTGCTTTGCTCCTAGAGCACAGCACCTTCTCTGATGAGGGCACTCCATGCTGGGCAGGCCTGTGCCAGGGTCTCCGTGTCATCCAGTCAATTCCAAAGTTCTTAAAAAAGTGTCCTTGTATTGCTTTTTTTGACCCCCGTGTGAATGCTTGCCCTGTGAAAGTTCTCCATAAAATAGTCTTTTTGGCAAGCATATATTCAGACAACATGGGCAGCCCATTGGAGTTGCGCTCTCTCAAGCAGGGTTTGAATGCTTGGCAGTTCAGCTGAGAAAGGACTTCAGTGTCTGGTATCTTATCCTGCCAGGTGATCTTCAGAATCTTTCTAATTCCTGTTTCAAATGGAAGTGATTCAGTTCGGGTGTGTTCAGGGAAGACTAGTAACTCTGGGGTAAGGGCTGCCGAGCGCTTTCCAGAGCTGCTTTCCACCTGTGGTGTCCACATTTCACTCAGCTCTCACCTGTAGCTCCAGGAAGCTGTAGCGTGCACAGCAGCCACACCCAGGTAAACAGTTTTGGCCAACACATAGTAGACTCTTAATAAATGCTTATAGAATTCATTTGAGTTGGGTCTGAGGAGCAGCTGGGTTGGGCCTCTGAAGGGGAGTGGTGGAGTGGGTGGGTTGTGGCCGGGCTGAGTGGGAGCCTGGACACCTATTTGTACAAGCTGTTCAAGGGGAGCCTTCCTGCATTCCTGCATGATCAGCTTTATGGGGTGGGGGGGGGGGGAGCTTTGGGATTAAAGAGAGGAAGACTAGGAGGTAGAGCAGTCTGGGACCTGGGCCCAGGGGACTCCCAGCAATAAAAGTCAACAATATAAATATATGCTTAGTAGTTGACTGACTCACTGATAAGAGTGATGCAGGGACAGACATTGATAGAGAGATGAAGGCAAAGAGGAGGGAATAAGCATGTATAGTCTTATTATATACCGGATAACTGTGCCAAGCACTTTACAAATACCTCCTAACAACCTTGCTAGGTAGGTGCTATTATGATCTCTGTTTGACAGTTGAGGAAACTGAGGCAGGCAGAAGTTAAGTGACCTGCCCGGAGTTACACAGCTAGTAAATCTCTGAGGCCCAATTTGAACTCGGGTCTTCCTGACTCCAGGCTCGCTGCTCTATCCGCTGAACCACCCAGCTGCACTAAAGAGGGAAAAAAGCTGAAGGGAAATGGGCCTCAGTGGTGGAACTTAGATGGCCCTGTCCCTTCTTTGGAGCCTAGAGAGGTTGCGGTATCGTCATCTGGGAGCCAAGTTCACATCCTGGCAGGAAAGTAAGCATGGGGCTAGCTTCCTAGAGCAGCGCCTGTTTTCTATGTGGGCACCTGGAAGGGTTGGCATGCCCTGAGGCCCTGGGACAGGGAAGGCCACCTAGGTGTCTGCCTCTGGAGGGGAGCTGGGGGAGGAGATAGGAGGTCAGAATGTTCCCAGGAACTTCATGGGGAAGAGGGTATCAGTCTCTGTCAGGGGCACAGCGAGGGATGGCCTGGTGGCAGGGAGAGCCATCACCACTGCCTGGGCTGCTCACAGGCTTGGCATGAGATGGAACTCTGAGGCCATTCCTTTGAATGCACTGGTTGGCCACCGAGCCTCACCGTCTGCCCTGGCTCTATACCCTTCAGCATCCTGGCAGGGCCATCTAACTCCTTCAGTGACCTCCCCACCTTCGGGCCTTTCCATCTGTCCCGCCGCTCAGCTGCCTCCCCCATTGCCAGTGTGAGCTCCTGGAGAGCAAGGACCCTCTGACTTTTGTCTGTTTGGACTCCTAGCATCTACTTAGCACACTGATCAGCACATAGTAAGTGCTTAATAAAATGCCTTTTTAAATGTGTGCTCTAGTCATTCATTCATTCTCAAATGATCCAAAACTGAATTCCCTATCTTCCTTCCACCTCAACCCTCCCGTCTCCCTTCTTGTCTTTTGCCTGTCTTTATGTTCTCAGCAAGCACTTAGCACAGTGCCTGGCACATAGTAGGTGCTTAATGAATGGTTGGTTGGTTGATTGAGCAATTGCTTCTCTGGAGGGACAGGTCCTGACAGCCCATGTCATGGGTTGGGGTCAATATATGTAGGAGACAGCTGACAGATATCCTGAGCTGTGGGTCGAATGAGGAGAGATCTGGGAAGCCCCCTAACCACCAGGCAGTGTCCCCGAGGCTCCCTTGCTGGGGCTGAAGTCGGGGCTCAGTCCTCGCGGGCCCTCAGTTTGGCTTTCTTGGCTGGGGCAGCTCGCCTTGGTGTTCCTGATAACTGGGAGAGGATCCTGAGAGGGATGGCGGTAAGGGAGGGCCAGAGATGGGGACAAGGACAGAAAAGAGACGAGTGAAATGAAGGCAGGGTCAGGGAGACCTGTGAGGACCAAGGCAAGCGAAGGGATGGGACAAAGAAGGAAGAAAGTGAATATTGAACACATCTGCTAAGCGCTTCACAGATAGGATCTTACTGGATCCTCACAACAACCTGGCAGGTAGGTTCTCTTATGATGCCTGTTTTATGGTTGAGGAAACTGAAGCGAACAAGTTAAGTGACTTGCCCAGTAAATATTGGAGGACAGATTTGGTTTGAACTCTGTCTCCAGGCTCCATACTCTGTCCAATGTTCCACCCAATCACTGACTCAGACCCTAACAGCGTGGTACTGGGTGTGCTGTCTATGCGTTGGGGGGAGGAGGAGCTGATCACAGGGATGTCTGATCAAATGATTTCCCCTCCCCCTTTCCCATCCTACCCCATCGATGAAGTAATAGAATGTAAGGGGCAGGTAACATGGTGTTGTGCAGTCCTGTCTGACTCTCTGTGACCCCTTTTGGGGTTTTCTTGGCAGAGACACTGGAGCGGTTTGCCTTTCCAGCTCATTTTACAGAAGAGGAAACTGAGGCAGAGTGAAGTGACTTGCCCAGGATCACACAGCCAGTTAGTATCTGAGTAAAGATGAGCCTTCCTGACTCCAGGCCCAGCACCCTGATAATGTCTTAAATGACACATTTCCCTTCATCACCGCTATAAGAAGGCAGGTAGCCATTGGTTAGGTGAAGGCTCCCACCATGCCCCTTGTGGCCTTCCAAGAAGCACATCAGGGAGTCAGCTGTGAGGAGGGTGAGCTCTACCAGTCAGGAGAAGGGGGTGGGGGGAGTGGCTGATGCCTGAACCTCACTCGCACCTGAACTGGTGAAAAGAAGATACACACACACACACACACACACACACACACACACACACACACACACACACACAGAGCTGGGTACAGAAATAGATTTCACTCAATAGGGAAAGAGAAGGAAAAAGGGGAGAAGTGAGGATGGAGAATCAGAGAGGAGATGAAGGAAAGGATTAGTCTTAAAACAAATTCCTAAAATGTACAAAGTATTCATTGCTCTTTTTGAGGTGGCAAAAATGGGAATGTGAGGGCATGTCCATAAATTGGGGGAATGGAGGAACAAGTTATGATACATAAATGTGAGGGCATACTATTGTGCTGAACTCTCAATTTCCGAGGACTCGTGAAGAACCCTGCTGCCTGCTACTGACACAGGCGACGGACGCAGATTGTCCTTTAGATGTGGCCAATGAGAAATTCGGTTTTTCTCGATTATGTGTGCTTGTCACAAGGGTTTTATTTTTTTCATGCTTTCTCAATGCAGGGAGTTGAGAGGAATGGAAGA